TATGGAGTATCAGGAAGGAACACTCATTTTATAGGAAAATCCAACTTTTTGACTTGCTACTCTATCATAGAATTTATTGTTGTAATAAATGTCGCGGCTGATACTGAAAGTTGGGTCTCAATTTGAAAATATAAAATCCACATATACACTTTAATTATAAAAACTCAACCCTAAAAAAAAAAAAAAACAGAAAAAGCATCCCAAGAAATTTTTAGAATTTCATATCAAAATAGTTCCAAATTTCAGATCAGCCAATTTTAGATCAGACGCAACAGTAAATATTCCTAATTTAAAGCATCATAATAAGGTTTTATTAAATATGTAAACGTTTAAACTTGAAACCTGATAATCACTGTTTCTTCGCCCAAACTCTCTATTTTAAATGCATCATAATGTTCAGAGAATGATACATATATGAAATCCTTTCTCAGATTTCTAACTTTTTTTGATTCGCTCCGAATATCAATTATAGCTACGCTTTTTGCATACTTAACAATTTCTTTATACTCACCAGTAAGCTTAAATCTATTACTATGTTCGGTCATATGTTCGCCATCTCTTAGAAGTTCTATCGCCCAATCCAACCCGTCTACATAAAAATCTATCTGTCCATCACATCCAAAAACTGCACCTATATCACATGATAGAAAATAAATCCTCCCTAATACTTGCGTTCCAACTCTATAAAATTCCTTTTGCCATGTTTGTTCTAGAAGGTTTCCATCGATTCCGAATCCAAGTGTTTCTCTTAAAATTTTTCCGCTTTGTGTATTGCATATTGCAGTGAAAGTCTTCACAATAAAATGATATAATGAAGAGGGGGTAATTTCAGTACTATTATGACTACCATAGTATTGCTGGGAAAATGATCGCATGGTAAGTGGCGCTGAAAAACGTAGAGTTCCATCATCAACCGCGAGAATTCCGGATTTGACTAAATATTGAATGTTTGTATTGAAAGGTCTGAAAAGAATAGTCCCATTTAAATAAACATCTTCACATGTTTTCAACTGGTCAGGTAATAGATTTTTGACCTTTAATGAAGCACGACATTGATCAATAGACAAGTTGAAATTATGTGAATTTAGATACGCAAATATTTCTTTCCATTTTAACACGTTTTC